TTTTCACAAGTGGATGCCTCCCCGACTCTCCTGAATCCAGTGTTCTTCCACAAACCAACTGCGCGGCCACTCTTCAAGCATGTCGATCTGAGGTATGAACATGGCGAGCCGCATTATGAAGCCCACGGCCACGACCATAAACATACCGGGCACCGTCATGAATCAGGCGCCCAGGATCATGAAGACCCCGGGCAGCTCTGAAGTTTTTCACCTAAAACTATGAATGTGTCGGCCACAAGTATGCGTTTGCCGGCCCTAGACATGAATCTGTCGGGCAAGACACAAGTTTACCGGGCTAACCCAACATTAACGGTCCTAAAACGTCTACAATTTCCAAGAATCATGCATTCTAAAACAGGAAAATAAAGAAAATAGATCACTTACTTGGATCAAAGTTGGGATTTGGCTAAGAAATGAAGAATCTGAGACGGGAAGTCACGATTGGAGAGAGTGTTGAGAGTTGCAACGAAGAGAGCACGGAGAACGGAAAACGTATTATGGGGCCCAAGGACCCTATTTATAGTGAATACGTGGAATACCAAACGTCACCTCGTTCAGCCACGGACTCCATCTCCTCGGCGCACTGCTCCCAACGCAATGATGGCCCTACCCCCCTAGGGTGGCGGCACAACTCCCGAAAGATGCCTCGTGTGCTCGACTGACGCGCCCGGTACAGATCCTCCGCGCATCCACCACCGAGGACGTCTCCGAGCACGGCACGAGGAGACCCCTCGAGGGTCCACGCCTCCATCCCGGGCACGAGACCTCAGCGACGGAACAACTGTTTCAAGTCATGGCTCCTCGCAAAGGAACCACGACTTGGGGGGCTCCTGTTCTGGACTGGGCCCGACAGGCCCAAAAGCATTACTAAGGCCCAGTCCAAAGGGACTCACTAAGGACCACACTGGGCAAAGGGGGTCACGTCCATGCCCGACACCCTGATGTCCACCTCGACATCTCGGTGTCTAGCCCCACGATGAAGTCCGGCTCGACAGCATGTCGTCCAGCTCTATGTCGAGCTCGGCACCGTGCTGCGCAGCTCGACATGGTCTCGAGCTAACTTGCTAGGGCAGACTTAGTCTTCCATTGCCCCAACGATACTCCGGAAAGACCGCGTCTCCGTCCGCCCGCATTTCATGCAGCATATCCAGGAAGGGGACCACGTGTTGGTCCCCACTACCCACGTAGAACCTGGCAGTTCCTCCACTGGGCCAAATCCGCCCGGCCCAATGAAGGAACCTTGGCCCAGCGCTGGGGGCTATAAATACCCTCTGCTTCCAGAGGGTCAGGTATTGATCATTCTAACCTCAACTCTATTATCTGCTAGTACTCCCACTGACTTTAGCATCGGAGTGCCTTGCAGGTACCCTCCCCCTCCTCGTTCAAAAAGCCTTCAGCTCGGAGTAAGCCGTGACGGTCCAAACCTTCTGATCAGGTCAGATCAGAACCTAACATCAATTCACCTTTACACAAAATATTCTATATGTAAAATTTGTTGTTAAATAAAAGGTTTCACCATAGAGTTTAGGTATCATCAAATAAACTAAGCATAATGGAATAAAGCATAACGAAATAAAGCAAAATGAAAATTTCATTATATCGTTTTGGTCTTTTAGAATAAAACAAAATAAATTCTTTATTTTGTCCAAATTAGAAGAGAATAAATATGATAGCAAGTGATGAAATGAAATGAAATTTATTTAAACAATGAAACCTCATTCCATATTATTTCATTCTGCTTCATTCCGTCAAACCCACTCCTCACATACATCTTGTCACATTCTATCAATCTAAATATACCCTAAGTCAAAAATCGACACCAAAAGCAATACTCTTCTGTCCAATATTATAAGAGAAATTAACTTTTTAGATTCATTAAATAATTAATGTATTTGATCTTTATATAGACGAGATACATTAATTATTCAATGAATCTAAAAAGTAAATTTGTCTTATAATATGGAACATAGAGAGTATTCGACAAATATCAAAGTGATTGCCCCCAAAACTACAATAGCCTCTTTTAGAGGTTATCAAAACTCAAAAGAGTTATTTCCTCTCATTCATCAAAGGGAACACCATAGAATTCCACCCCACAATTATTCATGTCGAAACATGAGAGGAGTCCATGCTTCCAAAGAGTTGAACCATTGTGGCCCCATGAAACCAAACTAGAATGAGCTCTTGTAAGCATCTTAAGACAATTGGGCTCAGAGGGAGTACCAACTTCCTACTTATAAGAACCACTAAAACCCCCATGAAAGCCACTTATAAGAAATCGTTTCGTCACACCCACTCCTCACATTCATTCTGTCACATTCTATCAGTCTAAACATACCCTAAGTCAAAAATCATCACCAAAATCAATACTCCACTATTCCATATTATAAGATAAATTCACTTTTTAGATTCATTGAATAATTAATGTATCTGGTCTTTATATAGACCAAATACGTTAATTATTCAATGAATCTAAAAAGTAAATTTCTCTTATAATATGGGACATGGAGAGTACTCGACAAATATCAAAGTGATTGTCCCCAAAATTACAATAGTCTCTTTTAGAGATTATCAAAATTCAAAAGAGTTATTTCCTCTCATTCATCAAAGGGAACACCGTAAAATCCCAGCCCCACAATTATTCCCGTCGAAACATGAAAGGAGTTTATGCTTCCAAAGAGTTAAACCATTGTAGCCCCATGAAACCAGACTAGAAGGAGCTCTTGTAAGCATCTTAAGACAATGGGGCTCAGAGGAAGTATCAATTCCTACTCATAAAAACCACTGAAACCCCACTAAAATCCACTTATAAGAAATCATCTGTCACACTCACTCCTCACATCCATTATGTCACATTCTATCAGTCTAAATATACCCTAAGTCAAAAATCGACACCAAAATCAATACTCTTCCGTCCCATATTATAAGAGAAATTCACTTTTTAGATTCATTAAATAATTAATGTGTCTGATCTTTATATAAATCAGATATATTATTAATTATTCAATAAATCTAAAAAGTAAATTTTTCTTATAATATGAGACATAGGGAGTACTCGACAAATATCAAAGTGATTGCCCCCAAAACTACAATAGCCTCTTTTAGAAATTATCAAAACTCAAAAGAGCTATTTCCTCTCATTCATCAAAGGGAACACCATAGAATCCCAACCCCACAATTATTCATGTCAAAACATGAGAGGAGTCTATGCTTCCAAAGAGTTGAACCATTGTGGCCTCATGAAACCAGACTAGAAGGAGCTCTTGTAAGCATCTTTAAGACAATAAGGCTCAGAGGAAGTACCAACTTCCTACTCATAAGAACCACTGAAACCCCCATGAAATTCACTTATAAGAAATCGTTTCGTCACACCCACTCTTCACACTCATTCTGTCACATTCTATCCGTCTAAATATTACCCTAAGTCAAAAATCAACACAAAAATCAATACTCCTCCTTTTCATATTATAAGAGAAATTCATTTTTTAGATTCATTGAATAACTAATGTATCTGATCTTTATATAGATCAAATACATTAACAATTCAATTAATCTAAACAGTAAATTTCTCTTATAATATGAGACATATGGAGTACTCGGCAAATATCAAAGTGATTGCCCCTAAAACTACAATAGTCTCTTTTAGAGATTACAAAATTCAAAAGAGTTATTTCCTCTCATTCATCAAAGTGAACACCATAAAATCCCAGCCCCACAATTATTCATGTCGAAACATGAGAGGAGTCTATGCTTCCAAAGAGTTGAACCATTGTGGCCCCATGAAACCAAACTAGAAGGAGCTCTTGTAAGCATCTTAAGACAATGGGGCTCAGAGGGAGTACCAACTTCCTACTCATAAAACCACTAAAACCCCTTTGAAATCCACTTATAAGAAATTGTTCGGTCACACCCACTCCTCACATCCATTCCATCACATTCTATCAGTTTAAATAAATACTCCTCTGTCCCATATTATAAAAGAAAATCATTTTTTAGATTCATTGAATAATTAATATATCTGATTTTTATATAGACCAGATATATTAATTATTCAATGAATCTAAAAAGTAAATTTCTCTTATAATATGAGTCATAGGGAGTACTCGACAAATATCAAAGTGATTGCCCCCAAAACTACAATAGCCTCTTTTAGAGATTATCAAAATTCAAAAGAGTTATTTCCTCTCATTCATCAAAGGGAACACCATAAAATCCCAGCGCCACAATTATTCATGTCGAAACATGAGGAGTCTATGCTTCCAAAGAGTTGAACCTATGAAATCAGACTAGAAGGAGCTCTTGTAAGCATCTTAAGACAACGGGGCTCAGAGGGAGTATCAACTTCCTACTCATAAGAACCAATGAAACCCCCATGAAAACCACTTATAAGAAATTATTCTTGCAACAACACGATGTTTCACAAAAAGCGGCTGACTGAGCAAGAGTGAAAACCAACAAGTCTTTAGTGGCGTTATCCTTTAAATTGATCATCGGTTCCGAGGACAGAGGGGGAGGAAGCTCAAAAACTACATCCAAAAACGATTTATCCCAAGACACCTGGTTCTTAAGCCGCCGTTATTCTATCGAGTCCCAACAAATATATTTAGACCTGGCTTCCAAACAAAGGAATGACCGTTTAAACCTATGAAGGAAGGCCCTTAGTAGACCCGAAACCAAACACCTTCTCATGTTTATTCTGTTTCCCAGAATAAACACATCTTCCACCAACCCACACCCAAAATGTTTGAAAAGTGGAATTTGAGAGGACCACTCGATAGATCAGAAGCATGTGTATCAAAAGAATGATAGTTGGATAGAAATAACCAACCATGTAATCATTGCTTCCAATGCTAAAGAAATTATATTGACAATTTAGTACAAGCAATTGTAAAAGGCATCTTATTATAATCTGTACTGAAAAAATAAAAATGTATTTCAGTATATGTTTGAAGCTAACAAAATTTTGATGATAACTTAATCTGCTATGCAAATTTGTCAATTCAAACAGATATATCTTTGCCAAAGAGATTGCTAATTCCCTTTGCAGGATCACTCTGTTTCACAATAGACTCTCCCACCAAAACCTGAAGAAAATTTAAGAGAATTTAATTTTCATACTGTCAATGTAAAATCTTAAAAGTTTTTCAGTTTCAACAAATAAATAGCTGTGCTTAAGCTACTTTTCAGCTTATTTTCATAAGCTCTCTGAGATGACTTATGAAAACAGATAATAGAAATTAAATTCTCAATACTTACAGCTTTAACTCCTGCTTCTTGTACATAGGCGATATCTTCAGGAGTGAACAAACCAGATTCTCCTACCATCTAAACAAATCGTATAATCGTCAGTTTATATTAAAAATTTCTTTGAAGTAAGTTAAAATGGAATAACAATTCTTTGAACACCTACAATTATGTTTCTCTCACGGATTATTTTGCCTCGCTCTCCTTCAAGAAGCTTCTTCGTGGTGCTGATATCTAACTCAAATGTTTCTGCAACCACACAAAAATTAGAAGCCACAATTGATGACTCCCTTAAGTTGAAATATTAGGATATTGACACACAAAAGAATAGGATTGATATGAAATACCTAGATTGCGGTTGTTGATGCCAATAAGCTCAACACCCTCTACTCCAAGAACACGATCAAATTCCCTCTCATCGTGCACCTACATTAAAACCAAAAATAAAAGGAATAAACTCTTACTCAACTAGGTTCAGAAATTATTTTTTATTTTTTAGCATCAAGCATAAAAAATCTAAAAAATGTTTTATTCACGCTGGACATCAACGACCTTACCTCAACAAGAGCGGTCAGTCCAAGTATTTTGCATATCTTAACCATGTACTTGATGTCAAGATCAGGTAAAACAGCTGCAATTAGAAGTACTGCATCTGCACCTTTAGATCGAGCATAGTAGAGTTGCCAAGCATCTATGATGAATTCTTTGCACAACAAAGGGCACTGCATATTTTTTCTAGTGTCATCAGCATGACTTACATGAAACATTGGATGGTGGAATAACTTTTATATGAAGGAGTAATGCAATTCATTAAGCAGACCTTTACTCCAGCATTTCTTATTAACTCAAGATTTTCAAAGCTTCCCTGTACAAAAAAGCCAAGTTCAAGTTAGAGTTGGTTAGCATTTAGCAGCGCTCAATTTGTAAGGAGCTTTTAACGAATTTAAAGTTAGTTAGCCTACCTTAAAGTACTTTTCATCTGTCAAAACACTTAGACATGCCGCTCCACCTTTCTCATAAGATTGAGCAATTTCAACCTGTATGAGAGAATCCGTTAAACAGTGCTGATTTGGCCACTATTTGATAATACTCTATACTAAAATCACGTATCACGGAACAATAGCGCTTTTTTAAAATTCCGCTGCCCTATAGCACTATAGCCAACTATTTGACAACACTGAATGGGATGCATAGTTGGAGCCAACAGAAACATTTCCCACATGATATAAGTAAGAACTTCAGAACAATAACAAATGAAGTAGAAAAATAATAGTTCTATCCTTAAAAATCATAGTGGAAAACAAAACAAACTTACTGGATCAAAGTCTTCTCTCAAAATGCCTCTACTTGGTGAAGCCTTCTTAACTTCAGCAATCAATCCAGGCAATCCAGTTCGTTCATTAGCCGCCCTTAGAGCCCCAATAAAATCTCTAACCGGAGGTGCATTTTCAAGGGCCTTCCTAACCAAACCAAGGGGTTTTCGTTCTTTTAGCTGAAAACCAAATAGATCACATTAACACAACCCTTCAAAATTTCATGAAAAACAATAAATTATACACATCAAGAAAAACTTAATAGAAACACAACGAAAAATCAAATACAATACTTGTGCAACTTCTTTGTCCTTGTTCCACACAATCTCTTCCAAGATGTTACGTGGTGTATTTCCCTCGTTCTGCAACCGGAATTGAAAAGGTCCTACGTAATGATTAGGGGGTCCAGTTGGTGGCCTTCTCCTTATTCTTATACCTTGCGTAGCAGCAACCTCGTTATGAAACATTCCTACTTCCCATTCCTTAACTTTGAGAGTTTCAACCACAGACTCACCAGATGTGGCTATTGTAGCTGAATCTTCATTAGGGTCCATCTAATCAAAAACAATAAATAATCCCAAAAACATAAAATCAAAAAGGGTTGTTGATAATGAAACTAAAATAAATGCATCCAATTGAACACAAAACCCTAAACTCCAATTGAACAGGTATATCAGTAAAAATTGAACAAAACCAACACACCCATAAGAAATTGAGAACGACCCGTATAAATGTAGAAACAGAAACAATAAAACAATAGAAAAAGAGAGAAAATTGGAAGAAAAAGTTGACCTGTGCTCGAACAGAAACAGTAAAAAGAGAGTTTTTTCTATAAGTATTGAGTCGAGTGGGAGGAATGGATGAGAAGGAAGGAAAGGCATAAAAGTGAGGCTTGAGAGAAATCAAGGATTCCATTGAAAAGGGTAAAGCGGGAGATTCAATAAGAGAAAGATGAAGTCGTGGTTCGGGGTTGTGTTGTGTAGTGTTAGAATTTGCATACGGTTAGGACGAGTAGACTTGGATGAACGGTGATTGGTTGAAGAACGAACAGTGGCGGTGGCGGCGGCGGCGGTGGTCGGTGGACGAACCTTTCCGTCGTTCGTGCGTGGTGGTGGTATGGTGGAAGGGATGAGATTGATAGACTGAACTGGAATAAATGTTGGAATTGAGTGGCAAAGTTGCAATTTTGAAATTAAAGTGAGGTATTTCTTTGGAAGTATTCCATAAGCTATTGTTATAATTAGAAGCTTATCATTTATTCCATTTGAAATTAAAGTGAGTGGCAAAGTGGCAAAGCTTATCTCTTGTCATATTAGCGTGAATCTTTTCTCATTTATCAAGTATCTAACTACTGCATCATCAGCTTTATTGTTGCAAAAATAATTACTTCAAAATTAATTAATATCAAAATTATTTAATCTTCTTCTCCAATTTCAAATATTTAATCTTTCTTCCATCCCTAATTTACTTATCGAGGAAAAACTAAGATTATATAATATGAAATGAATCATGTGAATGTAAGAGCAGCACACGCTTCATATTTTATAGTCGTACTTTTAATGTTTTAAAAGTTTGGTAATAGCTAAAACAACTTTGTATATCGCAACTCCAGAGTTCATAATATATTAGCTAATCTGTTGACACTTCGTTTCTGATTGATAAAAACTAAAGCGAAAATTCAGTTGCTAGTTTGGAACATAAGTTCAAAATGACACTTGAAAAGTGAGTTTCTGATGCTTAAAGTCCATTTCAAAAGAAAAAACCAGACATCATTTTCGTACATAATTATCAAGATTGCAGAAATCGTAATTCTCATTGATTGTTCAAGTGTCATTCAACAACCTTTTTGGACCTTACTCTTATGATTAATTTGTCCGGGAGATACGATAGAATGAGGATTAGAAACCTCATACCAAACAATATTGAAATAAACATTGCATCAAAGCTGATTAGAACAGATAGATAGGTATTGGTTTGGTTTGTATTGTTGTAACATTCTACGTTTCTTTCTATTTGTTGTCATGAGACTTATCTTGTACTGGTACTGGTTCGATATCAGTATGACTCATGCCAATCTTTTAATGATATTGGTTGTATTTGATAAGTGTTTTTATATATTGTATTATTAAATATTATATTATGGATTTGAAATTGGAGAAGAAGATTAAATGATTTTGATATTAATTAATTTTGAGATAATTATTTGTAACAATAAAGCTTATGGCGCAGTGGTTGGATGTTTGGTGAATGAGAGAAGGTTCATGGGTTCGAAAAATCCTTGGATGTACAATTTTTTGAGATTTTTTTATATGAATTTCAAAGAATATTGACATGTCACTAATTAAATAAAAATAAAAGTAAAAAAATCCACATGGACGCCACATATGAAGATTCTAATGCACGGTAAGGCAAAAGGGTGTCTGGAAAAGGAATCTGTATTTTATAAGGGGGGAATCAAAAAAAAAATCTCAGGGGGGAGGAGGGTAAATCAAAACACGCTAATATGACATGGGGTAGAATGCATTTAACCCTTTTGTTTACTTAACTATTAAGTTTAGTTTGCTTAGTTATTAAGTTTACCTTTTGTTAGGGCATATGTGACAACTTTTACTTTGTGTATAAATAGACTAGTGGTAGCTGTAAAAAATGTTCAATCATTCTTCCTTACAATTTTATAACTCTCATTGTAGAGCTTTAATATTATTCTCTCATACATTTTCTTCATTTATTAACCTTGTGCACTAACAATTAGTATCTAGAGCTCCAGTTGGAATCCATGGGAAAACACGAGTGAAATGCTAAGGCATTGTGTGATTGATTTTGGTTCTTGAATTCGTGTTGAATCTTGAACAAGATCTGAACATAAACACATTTTCTGATTTTGTGGGATTGGAAAACATTATGTTTGTGAGATCTGAGTGACTTGCACAAGGTTGAAGATGACTGGAAACCGTAGTCTAAGCACCAAGCTTCTAGTATTTAATGTCAAAAACTGGAATCGTTGGATGATTTGAATGCGTGTGTTGTTTGGCCCTCAAGATGTTCTTGATCTTGTCAACTATGGTTATGTTCCAGTTACAGCATATGTGATGGAGGAATAGCAAAATGCACAGAGAGATACAATGAAGAAAGATCATAAGGCGTTGTTTTTTATCCACCAGTGTGTGGATGAGAAGGTGTTTGAGAAAATTATTGATTCGACAATGGCAAAGGCTGCGTAGGACACACTGAGTAGGTATTACGGTGGTGATGCATCAGTGAAGAAGATGAAGCTTCAATCTCTCAAAAAGCAGTATGAGAATCTCAACATGAAGGATAACAAGAATGTTTCTGAGTATATCTCTAAAGTGATTTTGATCACTAATGAGATGAAATCTTGTGGAGCAACCATTTCTGAACAAATAATTGTTGAGAAGATATTGAAGTCGCTTACTCCTCAATTTGATTACATTGTTATGGCAATTGAACATTCTAAAGATCTGGACACCATGAGAATAGAAGAGCTGCAAAGCAGTCTAGAGGCGCAAGAGTTGCGTATGACTGAAAGAATTTCAGAGAGGGAAGTTGAGCAGGCTCTAAAGGTTTCTTTTGTCAAGAAGGACCAGAAGTAGAAAAAACATGGTAGGTCTCAGAAGTCAAGTTTTCTATTCTGATGAGAAGAAACATCAGAAGAGAAAGGAGAAATATGACAAGAGAATGGTTCAATATTACTATTGTAATAGGTTTGACAACTTTGCTAAAGATTGTTGGTCAAACAAAGAAGAAGCAAAAATAGTCAGAGGAGATTCTGATAATGACATGTGCTATTAATGGCTTATGAATCTGATGAGGAACCTGTAAGATTATCATTTTCTGATTCTGAAGGGGAAGAAGATGAATTTGAATATTCTGACTCTGAATGAGTGTTTGAATATGAGTCAAAATCAAAAGATGACGTTGAAGATTCTGAAGATGAGTCATAATCTGAGGTTCCTGAAGATGAGTCAGAGTTAAAAGATGACTCTGAAGCTAAAGACAAGTCAGAATCTGAATGTGATTCTGAGTCTGAAGAAGAATCAAAAGATGAGTCAGAATCTGAAGAAGATTTTGCTTCTGAAGATGAGTCATAACTTGAAAGTTCAGAAGAAGAGCTAGAGTCAGAAGATGAAGAATCTTCTGGAGACTCTAAAGATGAGTCAGATGGTGAATCTGATTTTGATCCAAACTTTGTTGATGATCCAGAATCTGGCGATGATTATGCTTCTAAAAGAGAAAACTATAAATAAGTAGATTCTAGAGGATAAGCTTCCGAAGATGATTATATTTTTGGTAGAAATCATGTCTCTAAAGGTGGAACTTCTGAAGGAGAAGCTTTTGAAGGTAATCGAACCTCTAATGAAGCTCATGATTCTGAAGGTGGAATTTCAGAAGGTAGACCTTCTGAAGACGATCCAATTTCTGAAGGTGGTATTTTTGAAGGTAGTGGTTTTGGACGTGGTCCAGAAAGCTAACAAAGGTGGAGCTTCTTATGGTAGTCAAACTTTTGAAGAAAGTTCAGAAGGAGATATTATTTCAAAATCAAGAGATCCTGAAGAAGTCTAGAGGCCACAAAAAATCAGACAAATATCAAGGAGATTTTCATAGTTTGACAAGCTACAAGATATTGAAGGGACTCTGAGATATGAAGTGTTTTTCTCTTCTGATGTTAGATCAGATGCAAAGCTGATATGCTATTCAGACTCTAATTGATATAGAGACAGAGTTGACATAAGAAATACTTATGGATATTTTTATTTGTATATGGAAAGTCCTATTTTTTGGTGCTCCAAGAAGCAATTGGTGGTTGCGTTGTCAATCTGTGAAGCTCTCAAGAAGAAAGTGTGGCTGAAGGCCATGAAAGAAGAGATTGATACTGTTAAAAGAAACAAGATTTGAGAGTTAACTGAGCTTCTGAAGGAGAAGAAAAACATTAGTGTTAGACGGGTCTTCAAGGTGAAATATGCATTTCTGAATGGAGTAGTACATTATAGCAACTAGAAGCAACTTGCAGATGTTCTGACGAAAGATGTCAAGACTGAAACTTTATTTGTTTGAGGGATGAAATTGGTGTTATAGTTTTTTGGTTAGTTGAATATGAATTAAGGGATGGTGTTGGAAGTAATTCATATTTAGAAGTTGTTGTTAGAATCAGAAGCTTATGATGTATTACTCAGAAGCAGTAGAGCTTCTGAGATTGTTAGTCAAAAGTTGTTATCAGTCAGAAACAGAAGTTTCTGATGTTGCGTCCCTGAAGTATGTTCAACTTCTAGGGCTCTAGTTATTTTTGTTTACTTAGCTATTAAGTTTAGCTTGTTTAGTTATTAAGTTTATCTTTTGTTAGGACCTACCTGACAATTTTTACTTTGCGTATAAATAGGTAAGTGGTAATTGTCATAAATGTTCAATCATTCTTTCTTACAACTTCATAGCCGTCATTGCAGAACTTTAATATTATTCTCTCATATATTTTCTTCATTTATTAACCTTGTGCATTAAATGTATTTTTATAGTTTCTTACACGAGTTTTGCCAAATTTAGGATACCTTAGATATTTTGTGAATGGTAAAACTGAGAATGTGTTGCTCACAATCGCATATGTTGTTGGTTGGCAGGTAGAAGAGCTCTTGGGTGAAACAGAAAGTGCATCTGCATTGTATTAAAAAGTAGTTCGTCTATTGGTTTTCCTTCTAGAATGATCAAATTCAAATATGTATTCCATTATTTATGCTTTCTCATTGCATAAGTTCTTATGATCGGTAGATTTGTAGATATGTTACATTTCACATGTTTTTATCGATGGAATCAGATCGAATGAGGTGAATGGAATGAAATAAAATAATATTATATTATTTAAATAATTAAGAAATTGATGGAGCAAAGTGGAATAGAGCGGTATT